TGGACGATTCCAGCCGAGGATGTGCAAAACATCGTTAAGGAGCTGTCCGCAGAGCACACGTCGTGCCCATGCTCAACCGCTCGCTTTGCAGGCCTCCGTGGTTCAATGCGTCCACGAAGTCGTTGACAGATTGCCGTGGTCCGGTAGCTTGATGTGACCAGCTTTCGACCAACGCCCCCACCCCCCAAGCTAGGAGCAGCTAGTACAGCATGCTGCCCTCCCAACCCGGCCTGCTGGCACACTTTTGTCTGCCATGGCGAGTACAGCAACCCATGGCAATTGTTTTTTTTTGCATGCGAAGGCTTGCAACGCACTCCTTGAGCACTTTATGTAAAGCCTCATGGCCAGCTTCGACACTTGTAAAGTGTAAATAGCAGATGGCGGAACAGACCAAGCGCAGCTCCCCCTTCAGCGCAACAGGCATTGCAGCACGGGCTTGCTGGGTGAGGGCGCATTTCTGTCGATGGCACCCAGGATTTCCGATACGAGAACTCGCGTAGCCACACACAGCAAGCAGCCCAGGACCGAGCCAGACCGCCCTCGTCGGCACAGGGCTGCACTGATGAACCTTTCGCACAGGGTCCCAAGTGTTCTTTAATTGGCAATAGTCTTCCGCATGCCTATATTCATATACTATACTGCCTTTCCATGGTGATACTATTCCAACATACCCCGAGACCTTAGTCTTACAGGGAGCGCATGAACCTCGAGACTTCCATCGGAGGAATCCTGAACTCAAGTCCTCATGCGGTTTATAGGGCTGACGTAAATGTAGTACTACATGCAGTACGGTTCCTCATTTTCCTGTCAGCGCCGCGTGGCATGCGCTGCCAGGGCGGTGACGAGCAGGTCATCGATGACTTTTTCTGGGAAGGTGCCTGCAAAAGGGAGGTGCTTTGGGCTGTGGGTGCTCCCTTTTTGGCAAAAGGCCTCGGGGATACAGACCTTCGGGGCCACGTGCTGCGATTTCGGGTGCAAATTCGAAGGTGGTTTTCTGTCGTGGTGAGTTCCTTAGTCACAAGGCCTGGCCTAGTCTCTCAAGCAGAGCCCACCCTAAGCCCTAAACCCCACAACCCTACACTAAACCCCATACCCTAAACCCTAAGCCCGAAAGCCAAACCCTAAACTTAGACAATCCCACCCTAAACCCTAAACCCTAAACCCTAAGCCCTAAACCCCAGAAGCACCAGCCGAAGGCATCCTTCTGCGCAGCGAGAGCATCGATGCCTTTGCCTCGACGGAGCGCCTCCTCTCCGAGGTCGCACCGTGTTTTCTGTTTAGGGTTTAGGGTTCAGGGTTTAGGGTGTAGGGTTTAGGGTTTAGGGTTTAGGGTGTAGGGTTTAGGGTATTCTATGGACTTTTCAGGGTTTTTTGGGGCTTTTGGGCTTTGAAGAACTTGTTGGATTGTAGGGTTTTTGTCGGGCGTTTGGGGATGTTCGGGCACTCGAGGGTTTTTGGAGTTTGAGGGTTGGGGGATTGGGGTGTTCTTATCGTTTTGCATGCTGTGCTTCTTCGTGGTATTCGTTGGTTGAGATGGCACGGGCGTTAAGCTTGCATAGGTGATTTGCAGTAGGGTTTGTGTAGGGTTGATGAGGTCTTCAGGGGCTCCTAAGTCAGCATAAAGCTCTGTAGCTCGGGTGTAAGATTTCGGAATGTGCCGTTTTAGGGCTGAGGGCTTAGAGTAGAGATGTTTAGAGGTAGAGTAGGGATGGTCGCTGCGGTGGTATTGAAAGAATGGGTATACTGCTGGCACGTGATGGCCTGATTCTGTGCACATCTGGGTGGCCCATGCAACCGATGCTTAAGCTTCCATGTGAGCTCGAACTGCAGCTCCGAAGGGCTCCGAAGCCCGGAGCTCTTAGGGTTTTGGGGTTTAGGGCTTTAGGGGTGGCTAGCTGCCTTGAAGCGGGAATCTACCAGAACCATAGCCCAGATCCTGAGTACAGAAGCCCTTAAGACGGTGGAAGCTGTGGATGGTCCCTGAGTGGGTTGTTTGGAACAGTCATGAGTTTTGTGCCCAAAGTCTAGGACCGACGAACTGTGGCTATACACATGCACATATATACATGTCTGCTCTATTATATATATATACACATATTATACTACTGTTTTTTCTACTCGTACTATACTGTACTATACTATACCCGTACTTTGCTGTACTATACTATACTATATCATACTATATACTAGACTATGCTATATTATACCATACGATACTATACTAAACTATACTATACCATACGATACTATAAGAGAATATATCTGATCATTGATCTATGCTCTATGGCTGCGCCTGGCACTCGAAGGCACCGCCGACCACCACCGAGCGTGACATGCTCCAGGCCAGGGAAGCAGGTTGAGAGTAGGACTACAGGGGGGTGTATGCAGAGATCTCCGCATTCAGGACTTTAAATAGAAAGGGGTGTGTTTATGGAGCTTTTGAAATCATACAACTTGTATCCCCTAGTGACACAAGTGCAGTTCTGATTGCAAGTTGCACTGTTGGAGCTGCAGTTAGTAGCATTTTCCTGTCTCCTAGCGAGTGGTGGTCAGCCCTGCTCCATGAAGTCAAGTCAATGCCGGGCAAGAGCCAATGGGAGGCCATGCCACCCAGCTTTTCACAGTTTGTACATATCCTCAACCCCTGCAGACGGTGGTGCCAAACACTCGATACATGTTTACAAGCCTCTGCAAGCGCCACGCCTTATACGTCCAAGAGAAGCAGAAACGAACGGTCCTCTCCAATAACAACACAGTTAAACACGCAAACACACAGCATCCCGCCAGGTCATCACAGACTGTGAGCCACTTCCTGTGCTGACGCACTGCTACGAGCCCGGGTCTTACCCTTGTGCGCCCGGAAGTCTACTATGCTTTATGTTTTTTTGCATTTCTACCCCCCTCCCCCCCAGATGAATGAAATCCTACGACGCTGATTTTGTAGAAGCGGCAGTACCATGTGTCACACCATATTCATATTCCCCCAAGCTTCCACTTAGGGGCTTGGGCCCCGAATGGCCTTGCAGTGCGGGTAACTGAAGCAGAGGATTTGTATGTAAAACTGTCCTTAAGGGTCCAAGTACTCCTGGTTTTCTGACTGTGGCATTCCTCTGAGGTACCAAAAGACCCGAGATTGAAGACTTGAACCCTTGTGTTAGCATTGGTAATCGAATCACATACAGTCTTCCCTATACCTGCGATCTGGTACCTGATTCAGATACCCCGTTTCTAACCAAAGGCTCCTATGTAAAACTCCGGGCCCTCCAAGCTTTAAACCTGGGGCCCCAAACCCAACAGCAAATGTTGACTCCTAAAGCCTATAACGCTGAAGCTCTCTCGTGCCTCAAGCCTCAAGCTTAGACTCAGGCTGGGACCCCAGGCCCGAAATCCTGAACCCTCAACCCGAATCCTACACCCCGAAACCCTGAGACTCAACCCTAAACCGTAAATGCATTCTTCAAGCACCCTAAACCCTAAACCCTAAACCCCAACTCAAGCAGCTCAAGCAGGTGCGTTCCCGACGCCGGTGTCGCTCTGCAGGCGATGACCGGCTTTCAGGAGCTGGGAGACGGGTTTTCTTCGTGGCTTCGGGGTTGATAAGGGTTTAGGGTCTGAGGGAGTCAACGGGGCTTCAGGGTTTCGAAGGGGTTTGGAACTGAAGGCCTTTTTGGCTTTGCGGTCTTTCCTCACAGGGGGGCTAGAGGTGCTAGCTGCCAGGATTCAGGCCTAGGCATTTTATCCTGAAGCCAAGAGCCTAAATCCCGAAAGCCATCAAAGGCCTTCCCTAAGCCTTCACATGTTCCTAGAGCATACATGGAAACCAAATTCAAAAAGACCCCATACAAGATTATGAAGACCTCTAACCTCAGAAAACGTTCCCGGGGCAAGGAGTAGACTGAACTCATCATCCCAAAACCACCAATGCTAGCATCAGCAACAAGCATGCTCAAACTGTACGGGAGGGGTCTACTCTAGTGGATCAGAAACACACCATCAAACTCTCAGGTGGCATCCGAAGCACAACTCCGCACTGTGAGAAGAACAAGAACCGTGTCACGGCCGTTGTTCCCAGCAAAGCCGGTAGTGCGGAGGACCTTGCAAGAATCGGCGCCTACTTCGACAACGTCGAGTTAGTCAGCAGCCTTGTCCGCGCCCCCAGAGTGCTTTGGTCTAGGATGGCAGGGCAATGAAGGTGCATCCTGAGCAGTCCTGGCTGTCCATTGGGTTGCAGGGTTTTCGGGGGATGGAGTCCTTGCAGTACGGAAGAGCCTGAAATCTGAAAACTGGCAATGTTTGCTACGCTTAGGGCCAGGCCAGGGTTGATGATGTCGCAGGGCTAGGCGAAGGTTTAGTATTTAGGGACGCTAAAGTCCGCACCGGTTCACAATCACTAAAATTCAAGGGGGGGGGGGTAGCAGCTGTTTAGCAAACATAGGGGTGGTGGGAGTTGTCGTCTTCGCCGTCGTAGGAACAGCAGTAACCTTGTTTAAGTTACCATTCATAGTTCAGCGTTGTTGTTCCTTCACTTCTCTGAGTGGGGATGCTGAGACTACGACTGGTTCGAAGCTTCAGAACTTGAAGTAAGCCTGGTCCATCTGGGCTCATGATGATGGGCAGCTGAGAACTTTCAACTGGCGATCCTTCTAAAGCCCTGACAACTCAACGCAAGTGTACAAGAACTCCCAGTCTTAGGAGAACTCCCAGTCTTAGGATCCCAATTTTTTGAACCCCCCTGTAGAACC